TAGAAGGGTGCAGTACAGGATAAGTATGCTTAAATATCAACCCGGGCCGGTCCGTGTACCCCTACTTCAGTCATTTAAATCATTATCTAGCAACAAAGTTTTGGTTGAAAAGTTTGCTAATTAAAATAAAATAAGGCAAAGGTAAATGGTTTTGAAAGCTCTTTGTGAGAAGGATCACTTGGGTGTCGCTTCCCCCTAACTACTACCATGGTATGTGAATTGGAACGATTGTTATGGGCAAGGTAACCTCGAACCGCAGAGGAATGCAAATATGGCCGTAGACCACCCTCTCTATTGCTAAACCGAGGTATAGATTATAGGTCGTGTCATTCGGCCCTCTCAGTTTAGGCAATCGGTGGTTGACTTACTCCCTCGCTCAACTCAAGGGTTCGACGGCTTAATCATGTTTAACCAATTTGCTTAATTCAACATTGAGGTTTGCCCTAAATTAACCTAGTTAGGTGACTTAAAAAGCTAAAGGAAAACCAAGTCGATTGAGTCTCCCTTGGAATGGGGATTTTCCTCTCTAATCTAGGTTAAAGTGGCTAATTAGATTGTTAAGCACCAACATGCACAAACCTAAGGATGCTAAGCACAATTATGCACAATCCTTAGGTTGCTAAGCACCAACATGCACAAACCTAAGGATGCTAAGTACAAAACATGCACAATCCTTATATTCCTAAGCACAAGCACGCACAATCAACATGAATAATACCTCAATCATTTAATTAAACAATACCCAATGACAAATCATTCAATTCACATAAAAGAAACTACATGGTAGCTAGTTCGGGTTTCACAAAACCCAAGTGAAAAGAAATCTATTACATGCTAAAAATGGGAGAAACACAAGGAGAAGAGGTAGAAACCATCTTGAGGGAGGCTTCCAATTAGGGGTGTGCAATGGTCCGGTCCGTACCGGACCACACCGGACCAAACCGTTGTTAAGATCGGACCGGACCAGACCGAGTAAAATGCGGTCCGGTCCTTGGTCCTCCTGATTTTTATAATTACTGAACAAATGGTGGACCGAGCTCATATTTGGACCGGACCGAACCGGACCAAATGGACCAAATGCAAGAATGGTCCGGTCCTTGGTCCTAACATATCTTTCACTAATGGACCGCGGTTCTCATGAGTTTGGTCCGGTCCGGACCGAACCGAACCGTTGCACACCCCTACTTCCAATCTTCTAGACACTTGTGCTGGACTTCTCTTGAGGAGAACCTTCCCAAATCCCACCTTGGAGCAAAACCCTAGCCTCCTTCTCCTTTGGTTTGTCTTTCTCTCTCTAAAAATCTGAAAAAGGCTTTCTCACACAATGGGCTCCCCCTTTATCTTCCTTTCAGCTCAGCTTTTAAACAGTGATCGATCTCAATTCACGGCCGTGAACTCTGAAACGCGTCCGTGAACTGAAGATGGGCGCCGAAACGCACCGCTTTGCTTCCACGGGTTTACGGCCACAGCTCCTGTTCACGATCTTAGCGACCGTGAACTCAATTAGTGTGAGTAACTTGCATTCTGGCCATGGACGCCTCAAGGTTCACGACCAATGGCTCTTCTTCACGGTCATACAAGACCGTGAACATCCAAGGAAAACCGTGAACTCGCTGTTTTCACCTCTTCTCCCGGTTTTCGCTCCTTTTCGTCCAACTTTCGACTCCAGGGCTAGTTTCACCTGTTAAATCCTGAAACACGCTAAAACACAAGAAACCTAGCGTAAAACCACCCTTTTAGGAGCACAATTGCCACAAACGACTAAGGAAAATGGGGGCAAAACATGTACAATCAGACCCAAATCACTCCCTCACACTTAGACGTTTGCTTGTCCCCAAGCAAACCATTTCACACAAGGTAATATTTCAACCTACACCAATGCTTTGTGGACAACTCAAAGGGTACAAAGTGGGAATTCTCAATGGCTATTGGCAATTAACACATGGATCGTTGCAAGCAATACCGACATCCACCACAAATGACATTCGAAGCCACAAAAAACGGGCAAACGAAAAGTTCTCACCTTGTTCATGGATCAATGCAAGCCTCAACAAGACCACTTATCAACCACAACCAACCATGCATGGAATTCAAGTCCGAGGAACAAATGGAAAGGCAACAAAGGTCCTCACCGGGGTATGATATGGCATGCAAAACAAAAATGTATCACTCACTTCTCAAGACCATTGGGGCCAGGACCTTTTTGGTGCAAAAGATGTGCACAATCGTCAACCTTTTTTCTTCCCCCCTTCATTGGGTGATCTCCCAAGGTACTAGGAGTTTAAATCCCCAAACCCGAGTTTTGGTGCTATAACGTAATAAATGAATATGTTAGGGTTTTCAATGAACGTGTTTATCTAGCTGATTTTAATGCTTCTCTTGATTTAATTGTGCTTGGGTAAGTCGCTCTAATCTTCTCTACTAGCCTACTTGAGCTTCTACGTTATGTATGGAGTTTTAGTGTTAGACGGGTACACTCCATCTGGCATATTAGGGTTAAATGAATGAGTAAGATCTTGTGGTGGACGAGGCGATTGTACCCCTGCCATAAGAATGCCTTCCTAGATGGAACCCGTGATGAAATTTTGATGTTGACGGTGGGTAGTACCCATTCAAAGGAGTTATGTTCTTAAAGCCCCTTATACAATAGCCTAGATCGAGGTGACTGGCATGGGTTTAGGGGAGGTGTACTCGGAGGCGTGTGGATAATCACGAAGGCCAACAGAAAAGAGCTCACTCACCTTATTTGCTTAACCCAACTTATTCAGACATTTGCATGATAGACCTAGGCTAGGGTGAGGAAGTTATCCCTGGTACCAATAACGATCGAGCCTTAGTAGCCTAGGATATCGTGACCCTTAGAATACGACCTAGCCGCTTTACTACATCCCTAGCTTAGTTATACTTGGCCTTGTTAGGATTGACTAGTGAGTGCGCTTCGACTTAATAAATTTAAAGCTCGATCGAAGCAGCGAACGATGATTCATAAATACCCTAAATAATTAAAAAAAATTAAATACTTCCTTGTTTGATTGATTAGTCTAGTGGCATGAAGCGAAATCACACATTAGCTCATCCTAATTTGGTAATTCCTATTGCATGTGGTGAAAACTGGAATATGATGACCTTAGTGGAAGAGTTATGGTTACATATTATAAGATGAATCTATGCTTATTGACTCACTAAAATACAACTCCTAACAATGGCCAAGTGTAACCAATGAAAGGGACTGCAATGTAGTGGTGCAAGTAATGAATATCGAATCCTTGGGTCTCTAGATGCAATTACTCAGCTTCAGTTCATTATCTAGCAAATCAGATTGAGGTTTTATTAACTAAACTACTCTACAAGCTAAACTAGGTTAGACTACTAACTACAGGTTGAGAACTCACTTAGATATGATTCCCCTTAACCGTTAGCCAGATTAATGATTGATGATCTCTAACTTGTTTCACTTTCATTCACAATGCGGAGAATCCTTGACTAGACCTTGAATCTCGACATACGAAGTCAAGGCCCTCTTGAGTCGATTGCCTATAGAGACGTATCCTTCTCTAGAACAACTTATCAAGGCATTCTGAACTAGATTCCCTCTATCGAATGAGGTTCTCAATCGATACAAAGCAATGAATCGACCCTCGACTAAAGCAATCGATCCAGTACTGGTCACCTATAAATCGCGACTTAACAACAAGCAAGATCTAGATTTCCACCTATGCTAGGAAAGAGTTGTTTAACATTATATAGTCAAATATGGTAAGAATAAACTGGTCACCTATAAATATGACAAGAGGCATGTTAATTTTTGTAGGCCATGTCAAAATCAACTCCCTAAAACACTGAAATGTCAGCAATGCATATTACGTCTGCCTAAAACAGTTTCAACAACTAGTTTTTCTCGTCAATTGTGTGTCTTAGGATGATTTGGGTGTCCACCCTTTTCTTCGATTCTAGATACGCGATTGTCGTGGGATTATTGCCACCACATATTTTGGTTTGTTGAAATACAATGATCGATGATTTTGGTTCGTTGAAATACATTTAACACTCACAAATGCAAAACCCTAATGTGGAACTTAAAACTAAAGAGTTGTTTGGATAAAGGGGTTTAGAGATTTTCCCAAGTCCGATGTTTGTCTGCAAATAGATAAGGTGCCAAATCAACGAGCCTTAGCGGATTGAAAACTCCATATTTAAATGTTCAATTTGGTTAAACCCACATGCTAGATGACTTATGCTTGAGCACTTCTACTATGCTTTAAAGTATCGGTGTTTTAAGTACAACTTAAAGTTGTACCATAACGTTAAAGGTACAAATTGAAGTTGTATCATAAGAGAATTTGACATTTATGTTATGGTACAACTTCAAGTTGTCAAGTTGTACCATAACATAAAAGTATAACTTTAATTTGTACCATAAAGAGATTTTACAAAAAGGTATAGGTACAACCTAAAGTTGTACCATAACATTAAAATTATAATTTCAAGTTGTACCACAACAGGAAAAACTAAAGCACCTATGCTTTATAGCATAGTAAAATTCCTCCTTATGCTTTCATGTTTGTTTTGTTCATTTCAAGTTTGCCCTTATGAACTCTTTTTGTTTTTTTTTTTCCCATTTTCAATTCTTTTAAGGGTAAATAGGGTAAATTTGGTGGCATATTCAGTAAATCTTGGACTCATTTGCTTGTTGGATCTGGAAATTGAGGGTTTTAGTTAAAATATCGGATTTTAAAATCCCGAATTTGTGATGTATTGAAGAAATTTTGTTGTTTGTGTTACTCTTAACTCAAAACATTTTTATTTTTAAATGAGAATATGAAAGTAAAGGACCATCATAGTTTAGAATTTCTACCAATTTTGAATCAGTGTCATATCTCACACCTACTGACCTACGTATAAGATTTAAAATTTCTTACCATATACAAATTTGAATCCTCAAAACCCATTAACCAGACAAATTGATCCCTAAAAATTGAAAAAAGAACCCGAGACACTACTCAATCCATTAACGTGTACTTCCTTCCTGTAAATGGCTTGCAGGGTTCCTTCTTCGCACCACTGCTTTCTGCTTTCCCCTCTTTCTTCTCCATCTTACCTCCATCGGTTACCTTGACACCCGAATCTTCTTTCTGATGAACACCTCCTCCTCCACCGCTCAGCCGCCTCGCAGACCCACTAAACGCAACAAACTTCCCCTGTTCCACCCCTGCCTTCTTGTCCTCCGCCGCAGCAAGCTTCTTTAGCTTCTTGGCCTCCGGCTGAACCGCCTCGTCCATCGGAGCTTCCCCTGTTTCACCCGACAGCCGCCTCGAATTCCCAGTAAAAGCAACAAACTTGGTCTCCTTCGATTCATCCAACAACTCGCCGGCAGCATCTCGCTTCTTCTTCTTCTCCTTGGGCTGGGGCTCCTTGTAATCCAGCGGGGTGTCGAACTCCACCTCGCAATCCGTATCCACAAGGCTGACCGCCGGGCCGGGCCTCGTCTCCACCACATTGAGGTAGAACTCCTTCCCCCAGTGGCTGATCAGGATGGTGTCCCCTGTAGTCACGCAGAAGAAGCTGTGGTTGAGGCTGCCCTCCAGCGCGTCCTTCAGGTTCCGAATCGACGCGAAGAATTCCACCGAGTGCGGCTGCAGCTTCACGTAGCTTCCCCTCTCGAGGCGGACGCTCTTGATCCGAACCTCATCGCTCTCCTTGAGCTGCAGATTCTCCATCATCCAGCTCAGGACGTGCGCGCTGCCTTCCTCGGCGGTGAACTCGCTGACCCCGCAGTGCGAGACTCGGCCCGACTCGGGATTGCTGATCTGGAACAGCATCGGCTGGCCCGGGGTCAGCGCTTGGTCGTCCATCAGGAGGCGCGCCAGAGCCGACTGCGGCATTCGAATCTGATTGCCGTTCTCCAGGGAATTAGAAGAGGGGCGGCAGCTGTAAACTGCTTCGAAAGGGGCAGGACGCGGCGAGTGTGGTGGTTGATTGTCTTCTGCTTCTGCTTCTGCTTCTTCTTCGTCCGCAGCGGAGTGGCGATCGGATTCTTCCTCAACGTGGTCGTTATCGGATTCTTCATCGTCGTGATTAGATTCCTCGGCCGGAGGTTGGTCTCCAATTGGGCTAGACGGCGGCGAGTTTGTCATAATGTAACAGTCAGATTGCTGACTCAAAACTTAAAATACTCGGCCAAGGGAAAAAAGAAGCTTTGTTTGTAATGGAGAGCCTTTTGGTGTGTGTGTATATATTATATACTGCTGAGATGATAAATCCGAATCCTACTGCCATTCGTATTCCTATTGTAGAATGGAAATAATCATAATCCTATTGGAAAACGGAAATCAGAGCGTCCGGTTTTTCGACAACAGAAACTACCACCACTACAGCGTTCAGGCAAAGAAGAAGGAGTCATTCCAAGTTTGATATTGCTTAAAATTTACAACCCTGCCTTCTTGTCGTCCGCCCCAGCATCTTTCCTAAGCTTCTTGGTCTCCGGCTGAATGGGGGTTCGTCCTCCCGAGCTTCCCTCGTGCTCGTGAATTCATCCAACTTCAAACCTCCGTCAAGTGTGAAAAAGTTAGTGGGCATATTTCTGTTATCGTTCCATCCTTAAGTTTCTAGCTTCTGAGTCAATATTTTAATTATGAGGTGCGTTGGATGGATTCCTTTCCTTTACAGAGGAGGTAACAATATAAACAATCCTACTGGAGCTTTCGCCTTAGCACATGAGAACCAGTCCAGACCATAAAGCGGCAGAAGCTTGGAGATGGGAAATCAAGACAGGTGACTGTTGCTTATGCTAACATTACCCCTTTTCAAGTACAACTTTCACGCAAGCTATATCTAACTAACCGTTTGTCCATTGATGGAAATTTCAGATTCTTAATGTTAGACACCCACATCCATTACCACACAACTCCAAGCTGGGTCTTTCAACTAGCAATGCAAGCTGTCTAGCTAACAAATCCCAAAAAGATCAGAGAAAGGTAAGAAAATAACAAATCGCATCCCTAAAATCGAAGGCCAGCTCCAGATTTAGCAAAGTAATGTTGAACTGTATTTATTTGTCCTTTTAAGGTTTATGTTCGGGAAACACCTGTACAAGCTTCAATCAAGTCACGTATACATTGATTAAGTGGCATGCCATATGGTTGAGCTTCAATGTCGTATTCTCATGGGTCATGGAATCTATCGCTACTTCAAAACTTTGCTACTATTCTATCAATCAATTTGGTAGGGATTCACTTCCAAACGTCAAGAAACTACATCGCAACTTTGTTCCAACTCGAGAAATGAGGTATTTGGGATTGGTATCCCCCTAGCTCTAGCACGTAATCAATGGAATGGAACATTAATGTTATCCCCTACTCATTTATGATACAAGAATCTATTGAGGTATCATTTAAGTTAATGATCATGCATTTAAACACTTCTAGATCACTACTTGGCTCAATGGTCGTGCAACCAACTAATTCCTTGAGCTTCAAGGTTGTGATTTTTTCTCGCGACCTTGTTCATCAGGTTGCGGTCTATCTTTATCGCCCGTGAGTCTGGCTGTGAGACCCTCTGCTTCTTTTGTATCTTTTATTGTTAAGGCTCACAACCTAGTCTCAAAGATCATGGTCGTGATCTTCTTCATTCTCCCATGAACTTAGATCACATGGGAATCACGGTCGTGATCTTTTGCTAGAGATCGTAAACTCCATTTCAGCTTCTCCCCACACTTGTTGTCCAACTTTGCTCCAAAATCATCTAAACCTTTGCATTGCATGTGTAAAACCTATCCATACTAAATACGGAACAATCCTAGACTAAAATGCAACGATTTGGAGTTTAATTATGCTCAACGAGGACACCTAACAGGATAGCAGGAGTTTGGAACTCCATTGAGGTCAATGAACCCTATCAAAGAGTGACCAATGAAAGATGTTTATGTGTAGTTCGTTTCTTAATTTTATTGGTTCAGTTGTCTTTTTTTGGGATAAAAATACTTTGGTTTGGGTTTATTTTTGAGTTTATGGGTTTTGAAAGACAACATAAACAAACGAACAAGGGATTGGTCTAGTGGTAATACCACTAGTCATGAACCTGGAGGTACCTTATTCGAATCCCTTAAGTAGTACCTAATAACAAAAAAAAAACCTATATCACCCTTATCTAAAAAAAAAAAAAAAGACAACATAAACAAAGGACAATCACATAATCTTAATTCTTAATGAGATTTAGAAGGACGAATAAGGATTTTAAGACAACGAATATCAGCTGCCAAAAAAGGATACCGTTTCTGTTCACCCATTATTGAGCTTCGGACTCAATAATGGTAAGGTAAATCTTTAAGAAAACAAACTGAGGCTTATTGCCGACAAGGTTTCCTTCATTTTTCAGGGTTTATAAATTAAAAAGGGAAAGAAAGAGTCCTACAAGGACCGCCTACTTCAAGTTGTGATAAAAGAGCCCTATAACACAACAGCAAAGCCTCAAGGCGAAGGACTATCACCTTTTAGGCTGTGGTTTTGACCTTATACTGCAAACCCATAACTTTACAAAGCTACATTATTTTGTAGGACACATGCCTCGGCCTCCAGAAGCCTCTTTCTTTTATTGCTCCTCCTTCACTTCCTCCTTAGCTCCCGAAGCCTCGGCCTCCATTCGTCCTCCACTAGCAACAGCTTCCCGCTCAACCTTCACCTTCTTGTTGAATGCTATCATCTGCTCACAGCAGCAAAAAAAAAAAAAAAAAAAAAGTGCAAGAGTTAGTTTTAATCAAGCCTGAGCAACATCATTAGCTAGGTCTGACACTGACCAGATAACTTCTGGGAACATAGCTCGCGGGGAAGTCAGCCCGGCCTATTGTTAGCGTTGCCAATGTTTCCTCGTCATTTACCAATACCCGCATACCATCCTTGGAAGATGGAGTTTCCAGGGTGGGAAGCACATCATAGAATTCAGCCACCAAAAAGAGATCCACTTCTTCAGCAGCCAAAGACAATTTCTGAGCAATGAACTGCAGAAAATTTTTCCACCCACCAGAGTGAGCAAAGGAAAAAGGCGGAACAGGAATCAATCCAATCGATATAGAAAAGATAGTGTAAAGAAGATCCTCAGTGCCAGTCACAGAACCAGATGCCGTCAGATGGCGTTATTTGCTCTCCACACAATTTTAACAGATTTCACAGGCAATGCCAGGCCTTGTGGCTTTTCAACATCAATTCGAGGAAGCAAACAGTTATTGAGACTAAGTAACTATGAGATGCAAGAATTCAAACCCTGTTTTCAGATATTCACAGAAACTATGAGGGGGAAACAAAAAGCTATTGATGAAGGCATGAAGCAAGGAATCTGAACCAAAAGTTGCCATCTTTGCCCAAGATTCCACTTCAATATTATGTGTTCTCATGATAAAAATGTATTCTATTATATGCAACAATAAGGCGTGATGTGACATGATGTATCATTCTCACGAGTATGTGATAATAACTTAGTGTTCCTTTGAGAGAACTGCCAGGCATGCAGAAGGGAGAGATTACACAGGTTAGGGCAGGAAAACTAACCTCACGGATTTGCCCAATAGACGAGGTGGATCGGCAGCGAATATAAGGCTGCTCCAAACTTGGTGCGGATTCTTTCCCCAGGGGAAGTACTATCAGATTCAGATACAACTGTTAAAACAAGAAATAGCAAGTTAGGTCACTGGAACCATGATGAATCCAACAAGTTCTTCATAACACAACTCATGCTACTCAGATGCATGATAATCAGGAGGCTTCTTTGATTAGTCAGATTTCGGTAGATCGAGTCTGATAGAGATTCACTAAGCTACTGACAAGACCACTTCTCTAATAGCCTGATTTCTGTCAGTTCAGTGCAGCAGGGTCTTCCATATCCTCTTTTATCATTCCCCAAGTCAAAACGAATCTCTACATGCAGTCATGAGGTTTCAGATTCCCGATTTCCTAAATTCATTTCCTCATTCATTTTCAGTCGATAGGGCATGGAACCAAAACCGAAGTTTAAACATTCCAATGGGGATTATTTTATGTATGCATACTTTCACTGCCCAAGAGGACACTAAGGTGAAAAGACCAGAATGCAGGATTTTTTCAAGAGAACAATGCCAGTGGGAATGACTAGACAATGACAGTCAATATGGCATGGAACGAAAACCGAACTTAGAACATTCCAGTGAAGTTACTTTTATGTAGGCATACTTTCATTTCATTGCCCAATAGGACACTAAGGTGAAAAGACCAGAATGCAGGATTGTTCAAGAAAACAATGCCAGTAGGTAGGGCTAAAACAAACACATTTGTTCTTCCAACTTTTAAAACAGCTATTCACCGTAAATTCCACAAATTATTCAAATCGAAAAGATACCTCCTAAATGAAATTACATTTCTAACATTGCCCATTCAGAATAAAAGTATATTTTTAAAGTTATCCATAATAGTCATTTTTTCCCAAACCCATTAATTTCTTCATTATTATTCAAGCAATTTGCCATCCTATCAATTACGTTTTTCTTTCTAAACAACATCTCGTATCCGATAAATTCAACCTCGTCCAAACCCTAACCAAAAACATGTTTCATCAATATTACCAAATATTAGGCTAAAACAAAGTTAGATCATTTACCTCTTCCTCATTTTTGTCCTCAGCTGATGTATTTTTAAGATGTTCCGTCAGCTTTAATATGCGACTGTTCCGCATGTGCCTATTATTGCTGCTACTAGCAACGCCATGCCGGGTGTTGCTTCTCGTGCCACCCCTCCCCCAGTTAAGCATTTCAGTATTAATAAATGGGAGCACGGGAGACACTCCCTGGTGGTCTCGGCTAGTTTCTTGATCATTATTGTCAGCAGCAACTCCTTCAGAATTCACACCTGATGAAGAAGGT